CAGAATTAAAGAGCCTTGTAAAATGTTTAAAACCTAGCTTGGGTCATGAGTTGGTGGTTAATTTAGAATAAACTGCCTATATCTTTCCTCAGAGTAAGATAGATATACTAATTTTCTAATTCCATCTGACTGCTCACAAGATGCAAGAGGATTGCCATGGCTACTACTGTTTTTATTCTGAAGAACTGAAGGGGTTCTGGCCACTGATTTGGGGGAATGCAGCAGCAAGTTTGTATCGGAAGATTTGATGGACAGTCTAGCTTGTGTATGGGCTGTGTGTTGCTTGGCTTTGCTACATGCCAGTAAAAGTATATAAATGTGTGGTAGTTTTCATGGTGGATACAGAAGCAGACAGGGCCCTGATCGATTCTTTCAGTGTATCGGGTGTTCTAAGTTGTGGAGAATGGTAACTGACTAAATGTTAACCCTTTTACTGCAGCTGGGACATATATTTCCAAGTTTACTGGGAAATATATGTCCCAGCCACAGAGAAAGGGTTAATGGAAAGTTATATCTACAACCACGAGTAGGGAATGCCACCCACAGAACAAGGAATCTTAATTCTAGTATTGGGATCTTTTGGATGGATCCAATGCACAAATTATCATTCAGTTTTGCCTGTGCAACAGATAGACTGTGTTTTTATGGAAAACTCATCCATTGCTGACATCAGTAGTAGTATATCTGAGTGATGATGCAGTCCTGGAGTTGCTCTGTAATTGTGAATATTCAATTATCCAGATCTGCATTGGAATGGTAACCAGCATGGTAAGTTAAGTAGCTTTAATTGAAGTTAGAGGTATCATTAAGGCTGCTTCTGTTGTCTGAGAGTTAATACTTGGCTCCAGTTGACCACATATGAACTTGTAACATTAAAGAGGATATTGAATGCCAATTATGTCAAGTTATACATGTTGTTTGTTTATTTACAGTAAGATTATACCAAATAAAATCAACCAAGAATCTTTTTTTTTAATTTATTCTGTACAAAATTTTGTTGTGATATAATGTTTTTTTTTAGTCTTTAGAGCACTATATCTGAATATGCTTAGATTCAATGATGTAATGATAGTTTGTTAAAATTTTAAATCTTGGTTGACAAGTTGATTGTTTTCACTAAAGGTAGGAGCTGGGCTTACCAGGACTGCGAGTCCAGCGGCTCATTGTTCTCATCTTTTCACCTCAAAAATCCATGCTACACTTTGGGGCCATGGATGCAGTGTTAGAGTGATGGTGAAATCCCACTGTTTGGTCAGATAAGAGAAGCCTGAGGCTGTGGGTAATGTTGACTTGGTTACCTTCCCTGTACTTGTTTTATTTCCAAATTATATGATGGCAATGTACCGATAGACCTTTGTTTACCTTTGAAGAAAATTACAAAAGCAAAAAATAAGGCCACATATTGATTTAGAGTATATTTAAGTATATTTTTGAGAAACGATGAGGCCATGTGAATTGCAGTATGTCTTCTGCAGTTGATGGCTTGGGTTTTATGCAAATTGATGTGATGTGACAAATATGTGTCATATAGTCAGTTACATATTTCATATAGTGAAAAACATGGGCAATAATTCATTCTTGAATGTAAAATAAAAGTGTAAAACTAGTTAACATACTTAGACAACTTTCTGTTTGGAATGAGTTTACTCCGACTATTACTCTACTGTAACAGAATGAAAGTTGTTTCTTTTGTATCTCTTAATGCATATGTAAAGAAATGCTGAAGAGTAAAGAAAGATTAAGGCATTCAGAAGAAGACCAATAGTGAAACATCAATGAAAATATCAAGTGTTTATTTCTGCAGTGTATCTTGATTTACCATGAGAATTAATTTTTGTTTTATTTCCTTTAAAAGTCACGATTAACATATTTCTCCTGTTCAATTTTCAAAGCTTGAGAAGTGTCATTATAATGCCTTTATTTTGTCACCTATTTCCGTTTTCTTTCCAAATTAAAATTAAACCACATGTTGAAGTATAATTTTGGATCTAAATTTACTATCCCTCCTATTTGGTGTCCATTAACATCTATCACGATAAGAATCTGTACGTGTCTCTATAAAATGTTTTTACTCCTTTCTGCAGCTCTGTGATATTCAAAGACGAAGGCCCAGTGCAATTCTCATTACTGTTTCTTGGAAATAAATGTTTGACACTAAAGTAATTTCAGGCATGAATCTACTGATGCACAGCAATCGTAGATGGTTTACATATTAATGAATTTTAAAAGAACAAGTGTGAAAGTTGCCTTATAAAATATGCATGTATAATTTGTAATATTTTCAATACAAACTTGTATCGTGCCATGCAGTAGTAGTTTTATAGGTGGGCTAAGTGATTTTTGTTGGCTGTCATCTTTCAGTGAACTAAGATCAGCTATAGAAAGGACTATCTTGGAAATAAGGATATTGCTCTTGCAGCATTTAAGCGTGAAGCTGCGGATGTGACTAGCGTGACTTTTAATACATCTCGGTTGCTTTAACCAAGTTCAGGGTAAGGAAGAGACACTCTTTGGATGCTAGCATTGAGGGCTGCTTTAGTAAAAGCTGGACCCACATTAATCTCGCTTTTGAAACCTGGCAGTTAAGAAGAGAAACTTGAAATGGTTGGAAGAAAACTGTGTCAGAAATGGTTCGGTGTAAGATCTTTCTCATGTTTACCTGAAAGTGATATTGACGTTCACTGATCCACTAAACTTGTGAAAAATTCAAAATAAGTCATGATTCACATCTTTAAAATTTAGCTTGCTTAGCTGAGTTTGGCAGTCATGAGGATTTTGCCCGAAAGGCCATTCAGTTGATGTTAATTGATAGTGACCTGACAGTGTAGATTATATTAAGGCCATTCAGTTGATGTTAATTGATAGTGACCTGACGGTGTAGATTATATTAAGGCCATTCAGTTGATGTTAATTGATAGTGACCTGATGGTGTAGATTATATTAAGGCCATTCAGTTGATGTTAATTGATAGTGACCTAACTGTGTAGATTATATTAAGGCCATTCAGTTGATGTTAACTGATAGTGACCTGACGGTGTAGATTTTATTAAGGCCATTCAGTTGATGTTAATTGATAGTGACCTGACAGTGTTGATTATATTTTTGAAGCAATATTTTCTTTTGTAATGTGTAGCCTATATTTTGAAATTTGAAAATCTACCAAATAAACTTCAGTTTGGTTCTATTCTTTTTGCCTTTTTTATTACCGAACTTGTTTTAAATATAAGACATACATAAGATGTTAGAAATACGTTTGTTTTATTCATTTGATCTATTCCAGATATTAATGTAAACATTAATTACAAGTGAAAAGATGATTGATATGTAATTTTTAAGCAAGTTACTGAGATGTCTGATTAAATTTTTCAATTATATCTAGAGCTAGTAATTAAAGGAATTTGATATTCAACTAATTAATT